TGACATAACAATGTTGATGTAATGACTGTAAGGTGTTGTAGAAGGGGAAAAATAATTTTAAAAATCTGTCATTAAAAAAAAAAGAAAAAATAGATTACGAGCTGTGCCATTAACAGAAAAAAATAACAAAAAATAATTGCAACCTCAACGGAATAACTAATGAATCATTTTAGCTGTAAAGTCATGAACAGAAGTAGGCCTGGAGTGTTGGTCATAAGCCATTGCAACCATTAAGTGAGTTGTCCATGTAACTGCTTTAGTCAATTACTGCAATTTCTGTGTCTGCCAGTTGTGATCCATTTAGTGAACAGAAGGGAATTGCTATGCCTGAACAGAACCCCCCCCCCCCCAAAAAAAAAACCTCTGAAGATCTGAGCTTCCTTTCTCTGGCCTAGTGCAGCAGTTTTCATCCCCTTTCTTCCCTAGAACTTTTAACTTTTAGAACCCTTCTTTCACTAGCTTTCTAGCTCAAAAACTAGCAAATGCAAAGTTTCTGAAAGGTCGAAAAGACTTTTTCCAAACTTTCCATCTTTCAGAAACATTGCATTCGGGTCAAAAAGCCAGCAAATGCAACTTTTTGACCCAAATGCAATGTTTCTGAAAGATGGAAAGTTTGGAAAAAGTCTTTTCTACCTTTCAGAAACATTGCATTTTGAATGGAAGATTGTTGGTCTCAGAAATCCATCACAGCAGGTGGGGTCCAAAATATCTCTCTGCCTTACGCAGTGTTTATTTGGCTTTTATACAGTTTTAACAAGCAAAGCAAGAACATAGGTAGCAACAGCATCTTATTGACTTATTCTCCTTGTCAATCTCTAAGACCATCCCAGCCAAGGTAGAGGCTTCACATAACACAATACTTCCTGGTACTGCCTGGCTACTAATTAGGTGAGGTCATGTTGAGGTAACCGGTTACTGAGATCATGGCAGTTTGCTGCGCATGTCTGTACATAACCTTTGTATAATCTCTACAGAAGACAAGCAGGAAAAAAGCCTTTGTATTTTCGGAAACATTTGCGTTTGCTGGCTTTTCACTTATTTATCAAAACTGCATGCCATCTATCTCGCTAAAGGCGACTGTTGGCTGGTAAGCTAACAAACGTGATTGTTCTGAATGATAGAAAGGTTTTCTCCACCTAGTTTCTTTGAGAGCAACAGGGATGCTTGGAAGAGAGATTTTTGCCCGACATAGAGACAAAATCAATCTGATGGGCAGCCTTTCTGCTTTCAAAGACTCTCGCTGAAAAAGTCTCTGGCTAATAACACACATGTCTCTAGATATGATTAGATCAACCACTAGAATATATACATCAGTGGAGATTCTGCTACAAGATACAGGCATACAATGTAATCATTTCTAATTATTAGATATCCAAGAGAATACTTCACATAGGATCTATTTAGCACAACAGACTATTTATGGATTAGAAAGAAATGATATCAAATTCTAGTCTAAGTTTAATCTTGACTTTTTAACATATCCTGAGGAAGAAACTGAAATACATGTACATGCATTAAAAATATCCTTGTTGCTTTATTTTTCCTTCTCTGGTTCCTTTCCTCTTTGAAAGAAAGATAAACTTGTGGACAGATCTGTATAAACAATTGACAACAGTTACAACAGTTTATTTCATAATTTCAACTGAGTAGGGGGGAAAAGCAAGTCATGCTTTTTGATTTCCAAGGAACCATTTGAATATTCAGGTAAAAGAATAGAAGAGAAAGGGGAAATCGTTCTGATGAAAGAAATGTCCTTCTGGGTTCGGCTCCAAGTGGGGAAAAAGACACTGGAGACATGGAGGCTGCTTGGAAAGATGGTTTATTGGTG